AAATGCTGGCACACTGAAAATACTGTAGACAATCACCTTCACTTACGTGTTTATCAATGAAGGGCAAGTGTATATTTGAAACACAAAGCAATTTAATGATTAGACTTGGGTCCCTTTCCCCAAGATATCACATGTATATATGAGTATTTTAGAATCCAAGAAAAAGTCCAAAACCCTCTGGCCTCAACCATTTCAGGTAAAGGATACAGGACATGCACACATAAGCAACTCTTGTCTCTTGAATCTGAGACCTAATTTTCTTCTTTGGCTTTAAGAAATAAAAAGAAATTGATTTCTGTTCACAATTGATCGTAATGATAGGACTAAGAACCAAAGGGATCACATAAACAAGAATAGTGTCTGCAAATACTAGCTGATAGAATAAAAAAGGGAGAGAATGGTCCAACATGGGAAGTGAGATACACAGCAGACCCATAGAATGGCAGATGTCCTAAACAGCACTCTGGCCTCAGAATCAGCCCTTAAGGCATGTGGATCCAGCTGAGAAGCCCATGAGAGTATTTCAGGCATGGAAAGCCAAGACACTCTGGGGAAAAAAAAAAAAACCTAAATGAAAGATCTCCACGAGTGAGATCCCAGTGGAAAGAACGGGTCATCAAAGAAGGAGGTACCTTTCTCTGAAGGGAGGAGAGAACTTCCACTTTGACCATGGCCTTGTCCAAATATGATCAGAGTCGGTGAACTCAGGGGGCTTCCATAGCCTTGGCAGCTCATGACAAGAGCCTAGGGTGATTACTGAGGCCATAAACAAGAGTGTCAATTTGTTAAGTCAACAACAGGAGTCACTGTGCACTTACTCTTCATGTAGGATCTCTGTCCTTAGTGTGCTGTACATTGAGATTTAATGCTATTAACAACTAGTACTCAAACAGTATTTTTCACTTTATGTTTCTGTGTGGGAGCAAACTGTTGAAATCTTTACTTAATGTATGCTAAACTGATCTTCTGTATTTAAAGAGAATTGAAAATGAATCTTGATGTGAATGGAAGGGAAGAGGGAGCAGGAGAGGGGAGGGTTGTGGGTGGGGGGGAAGCCATTGTAATCCATAAGCTGTACTTTGGAAATTTATATTCATTAAATAAAAGTTTAAAAAAAAAAGAAACAAAAATAATTAGAGATGTTGGGTCTGAGATGCTAAAAGAGCTTAGCAAGTGCCTCTCCAAGACATATTAGGTAGTGAAAAAAAAAAAACAGTCAAAGGTGAATTTGAGCACAGAACCTAGTCATTAATTAGGTGATTAACAATTTTAGGAGAGGGTAAAAATTGGAATAAAGGAGTAAGTGAAGCTTTGGGATGCAAGACAACGTATGAGCTGAAATACTCACTGTTGAGCTAAGACTGTAAATCCTTTCTTTATGGCTGTGTTGAGTTTTTCAAGCCCCATAGAAGTAAGAAAAGGAGAGTAAGTACATCAAAGATCTAGCCGTGATGTTCTTAGATACAATTTAATAAGTATATTAAACTTGAGTCTATTATGCCATCCTTATTTCAGTTATTTCAATTTGATAAATAATCTATTAAGTTGTAATTAATTTATGAGCTGACAGTATAAATGATTATTTGACTTGATTACATTTAGAAACAGAATTTGAATGTTTAAGACTTATTTAATTTTAAGAATTTATTTAATCTAGAACTGAGTTTGAGATCTACCAGAGTCACTTAGCTTCTAAGTTTTCAGACTTGAAATACTTGTATTTTTAAACATATGTAATAGGTTTCAAAATGTCCAAAGCAAATAATTTAGTTCACTGAATTTACTGTTATTACTAACAGTAAATTGAAAATAAATCGAAGAATTAAGCAGCATATGCATAGTTGTAGCTATATGAAGAATAAATTTACAATAGAGATTAGAATGAACAGTAAAGGCTTGTGAAAACTAAGTTTCGATATTTTTTAGCTTTGAGAAACTTAGCATCAATTAAAACAAGCTACTCTGTATTTTGTTTACAGAAAACACTATAAAATGTTTAAAAGCTGTACTATAGAAAAAAATAAGGAAACCATAAATCCCTATACTGTTGGTTATGGTCAAAGATTGAGACAGAATGATTTAGCACTGCCCACCAGTTGGTCAATAACATCATCCACTACCTGTACCCCAATAGAGTAATACCAGGTTCAAATAACAAATAAAAAGTGATCCCTGTTAGGAATTATGCTGAGTGAAATAAGCCAATCCCAAAGGGACAAATACCACATGTTCTCCCTGATAGGTGACAACTAACTGAGCACCAAAAAGGAAACCTGTTAAAGTGAAATGAACACTATGAGAAAGGTGACTTGATCAGCCCTCACCCTGACTGTTGATGAGCAACTTAATACGTTATCCCTCTTAGTATTTTGTTTGTTCTACTTAATACTTTTGGTTGAATACTGTAATCAATACACAATTCTTCTTAAGTGCTGAAACTTAACTGAAAAGTGATCGCTGTTAAATATAAGTGGGAATAAGAGAGGGAAGAGATGTGCAATTCAGGACATGCTCAAGCTGATTTACCTCAAATGGTAGAGTTAGAAACATACCAGGGGATTCCAATTCAATCCCATCAGAGGTGGCATGTACCAATGCCATCTCACTAGTCCCAGTGATCAATTTCTGTTCACAATTGATCGTAATGATAGGACTAAGAACCAAAGGGATCACATAAACAAGAATAGTGTCTGCAAATACTAGCTGATAGAATAAAAAAGGGAGAGAATGGTCCAACATGGGAAGTGAGATACACAGCAGACCCATAGAATGGCAGATGTCCTAAACAGCACTCTGGCCTCAGAATCAGCCCTAAAGGCATGCGGATCCGGCTGAAAAGCCCATGAGAGTATTTCAGGCATGGAAAGCCAAGACACTCTGGGGAAAAAAAAAAAAAAAACCTAAATGAAAGATCTCCGCGAGTGAGATCCCAGTGGAAAGAACGGGTCATCAAAGAAGGAGGTACCTTTCTCTGAAGGGAGGAGAGAACTTCCACTTTGACCATGGCCTTGTCCAAATATGATCAGAGTCGGTGAACTCAGGGGGCTTCCATAGCCTTGGCAGCTCATGACAAGAGCCTAGGGTGATTACTGAGGCCATAAACAAGAGTGTCAATTTGTTAAGTCAACAACAGGAGTCACTGTGCACTTACTCTCATGTAGGATCTCTGTCCTTAGTGTGCTGTACATTGAGATTTAATGCTATTAACAACTAGTACTCAAACAGTATTTTTCACTTTATGTTTCTGTGTGGGAGCAAACTGTTGAAATCTTTACTTAATGTATGCTAAACTGATCTTCTGTATATAAAGAGAAACGAAAATGAATCTTGATGTGAATGGAAGGGGAGAGGGAAGTGGGAAAGGGGAGGGTTGCGGGTGGGAGGGACGTTTTGGGGGGGAAGCCATTGTAATCCATAAGCTGTACTTTGGAAATTTATATTCATTAAATAAAAGTTAAAAAAAAGAATCTGACTTATTTACTGTATTCTTAAGTTTTACTTAAGGAGAGTATGACTATATATTGAACTTATTCTCATTCCTTCATATTCATGGGGCTTGCAAAACTCCACCCAGCCAGGAAGAGAGGATTTACATTCTTGGTTCAAAAATTAGTCTTCAATCCCATACATTCTCTTGTGCCAGCTAGCCAGTAAAATCATCCTTTGTCCTTCCCCTCATAATAATTGATTTTCCTGCCTCGGAATTATATCTGTTTTAGAAATAATTCCTACACATATTGTTGAGCCTTAAAAAAAAGCAAGTACAGAGGCTGGCACTGTAGGGCAGCGGGTAAAACTGCCACCTGTGATGCCAGGATCCCATATGCGTGCCGGTTCTTCTCCTGACTGCTCTACTTCCAATCCAGCTCCCTGCTCATGGTCTGGGGACAGGAGCAGAAATGGCCCAAGTGTTTGGGCCCCCGACACCCATGTTGGAGACCCAAATGAAGCTCCTGGTTTCAGCTGAGCTAGCCCTGCAGTTACCTGCAGAGGGAACCAGCAGATGGAATCTTTGTTTATCCCCCTCCCTGCCTCTGTAACTCTCAATTTCAAGTGTTAAAAAAAAAAAAAAGTATCAACATTTCATTAGCTAGAGTATAGAGCCAGCTGCTATCAAAATAGGACCAACACATGCCAGTTCAGAACTCATATGGTAACATCATGGTGTCAGAGACAAAGATCATTTCTACTGCTTTTTCATCCTCAACACCCTACTTCTATCTCATGGTCAAAGCTGACTGCTGCAGCTCCTGCCATCAAGTCAGCCTTCTAGCCTGAAAGACTCCTTTCCTTCAAAGCTCACAACTCAGAAATGGCCTCTGTCACTGCAGTTTGCATGCCATGGGCTAAAACTTAGCCACACGGCCATCTCTAGTAGCAAGACAAACTGAGAAGTAGTCTTTAGCTGGGGGCCCATGTGCTTCAATAAAACTTCCAATATTAGAAAGAGGAGACCACAGATATTCAGGAGACTACTAGTAGGCTTGCTTATAAACATGCCACTTTGTATGTGAAAAAAAGTTAACACACATAATGAAAATTTAAAAGCTTAGGAGGGCCAGTGCTCTGGCGTAGTGGGTAAAGCCACTGCCTGCGGTGCCAGCATCCCATGTGAGAGCCAGTTCAAGTCCCAGCTGCTCCACTTCTGATCCAGCTCTCTGCTATGGCCTGGGAAGGCAGAAGATGGCCCAAGTGCTTGGTCCTCTGCACCCGTATGGGAGACCCGGAAGAAGCTCCTGGCTTCAGCAACTCCAGCCATTGTGGCCATCTGGGGAGTGACCCAGCAGATGGGAGATTTTCTTTCTGCCTCTGCCTCTCTAACTCTGCCTTTCAAATGAATAAATCTTCCAAAAAATTTAACAATTAAAATACAAGTTTAGATAACAACTCAGACACACTAAATCATTGGCCCACAGCCCAATGTCAGTATGTAATAAGGTTTTCATCAGTCCAGAAGTAGAATTTGAAATACAAGTGATTCAACATAAAATTTTACTAACCTCAAGCGTTATCCTCTCTGAAGTCCTTTATTTTTTCAAATCCAAACATCCTATCTTCTATGCAATACTGTTGACACCAAATGGTAAAGCGCTAGCCTACTTAGCCAGTGCTTATGGAGCAGCCAGGCACTATACATGATGCTGAGGATTCGTGGTTACGATCATCCCCACACTCAAGACGTCCAGTCTAGCAGGGAAGATGGAAGGGTGGCCGAATTCCAAACCAGCTTAAGTCCTATTTAAAAAAAAATGCAGAAGACACTCAGAAAATATTCTAGAGGCTTCATCTGGATTGAAGATGCAAAGGTTTCCAGGAGGGTTTTTAGGATGTGCTCTGAACATGGGCGTTAGCTGGGAGAACACTGAGGATTGCTGTAGGCAGGTGGGTCAGGAAGAGTTTGGCTCACTGAAGGTCCTAAAAGAAGATCTGCTGGCCAGAACTGGGTCATCCCAGGGAGTAACACAAGGGTCAGCAGGGGACCGAGAGAGCATCTCACACACCATTCACAGATTTTAGCTCTGCACTGAAAGGTAACGCAGAAACAGCAAGGTTTTCCGCAAAATAACAAGCCAATTTACATTTTAAAAGGTCAGGCAGGCTGCATGTGAGGAATGAACTTGGAGCGAATAAGTGGTGGATGATGAAGGTATCAGGGAGCAAGGCAAGAAGGAGGCCAATAGAGATTTGCCCCCTGGGGGTAGATTTTGGTGCGAAGTTGGGCAAGGGAGACAGAAGCAGGACTGTGATGAAGACCCAGGGCTCTGGGGTCAAGTTGCTGGGGTCAAAGCCTGGCTCTATCCTGACCAGTGAACTGTGCCTCAAAGCCTCAGTTTTCTCATCTATAGAGTGGAGAGAACAACAGCACTTCAGACACATAAGGAATTACTGAGACTGATGTGCCTGGGATAATGATTGCATGTATAAATGTCACCATTTTATCATTGTTATTTTTATGGTTAGTGTTGGCTACAACCAAAAGAGTAAAGAGACTCTCTGGATTCTGGTTTGAGCACCTGCATGGCCAGTGGTAGCATTTGTCAACATACAGTAAGATGAAAACACATGATTTGGGGAGAGAAGAACATGTGATCAATTTTGGATGTTAAATGGTTATCGTTGTCTGATGACACATTTTTTATTGCTTGTTTTTATACTAATACATTTAACTGTCTTTACTAGCAAACTTAAAGATGCATATTGCAACATTATTTTTTGCAATTGTTTTAAAACATGAACTCACAACCCCAATATCTGAAAATTACTATTTTAAATGACACCAATTACAAAGATTTGTGCCAACAAATGCAATGTATTTACACACGAACACATAATGTCACTTCAAATATCCCCCACTTAGGGCAATATAAAATCATTATCTCTGCCAGCAAAATAGAATGTCGTCAATTTCCTGTGAAATTTCCTCAGGTTCCGGTATGGCTCTTAGCACACTGCTATGGTTGGAACATGCTCTCCAAAACTAACAGTGAAATTTAATTGCCACTTCTATGGCAGCATGCAGTGGGACCTTCAAGAGGTAATTAAGCCTTGAGGGCTCTATCCGCAAGAGTGGCTTAACGCATTATTACAGGAGTGCCTTTAGTATAAAAACAAGCTGTCTGATGCATGCTCACTTGATCGTCCACCAGGGGATAGCATCACCCGACCCAAGCACCATTCTCATGGACTTCCAGACACCAGAACTACGAGCAAAATCAACTTCTGTTCTTTGTAAAGTACCCAGTCTCAGGTATTGTTACAGCAGCACACAATGAGCTTAGACAGAAACTTGGTACAAGTCGGGCTGTTGCTCTCCCACGCACCCAAAGACACTCAAGCGGCTTTGATACCCGGAAATGGGTAGAGGCAATGGAGAACAGGAAGAATAAACTAGAAAAAGCCCATGTTGCCATGAATGGAGCATTAAGCACAACTCTGGATAAGACTAAGAAAAAGAGTGCTGTAGGCAAAGTCTGAATCTTCTTAGAGATGACTTGAGTGGCAGTGATCAGCATGGTGGCCAAGGAGTGAGTGAATGGCACCAAGCGGTTAAGCCACTTGGGACTCCTACAAGCCACAGTGGAGTGCAGGTTTGAGTCCTGGCTCCCCATGCAGTTCCGGCATCCTCTTATGAAGCAGGTGATGGCTCAGATACTTGAGTCCTTGCACCTACCTGGGAGATCTGGATTGCATTCCCGACTCCCAGATTTGGTTTAACTAAGCAATGGCCACTGCAGGCAACTGGGGAGTCAACAAGCATACGGGCTATCTTTCTCTTTCTGCCTTCCACATCAAGAAAAGGAAAAAAAAAGCAGAATGTTAGTAGAAATGTCCAAAGTAAAGGCTATTATAATGCACTCTCAGAAATGAGCACTACAGCATGGGCAACCGCAGTAAAGCCACTCTGGTATACAACTGCAAAGAACTTGGTTGAATCATGTCCAAGCATGATGGTTTCTGAAAGGGGGGACTTAAAAGCAATGAGTTAGCATATCTGGTTGAAGAAATACCTAAGCAACAAGCATTCAAGCTGGCGCATGGCCACTTTAACCACACACGGTAAGATGCAGGAGCTAAGAAATAAATGAAGGGCAGACCTTATAATTATAAGCAAAGCAGAAAGATTTAGGAAATTCATGACCTGGCCACCTAAAGCGTGGGGAAAAAGTGTGTTGATGAGAAAATACTGAGGTAGAGGCCAAGCAACCATTTGGTAAGGAGATTTACAAGGATGGAGAGGAGCTGGGTCCTGTTCATCAAGACCAACAGCACTGCAGAGAACTTAGGCTGTCCAGCCCACCTCACACTGCCCATCACAGGCCCAGAGCTCTAGGGGCAGGATGGCCCAGGGATGCCTCCTCGAATTCTGGGTCAGTGCCCCTGGGACACCCCAGCCAAAAGGCAAGTGTCCCCAGGTGTGGTATGAGCCACAGCTCAGGACAAGTCATACACGTAGGTAGCATCCACTCGGTGTTGAAGTCTATAGACCCACAGAATGGCAGAGTTGTGAGGGCATAGCTTCTTCCACCTAGATTTCAAAGGGTACTGCAGGCTATCACATCAGGCATTGAACTACTGCAGAGAACTCCTACTAGGCTAAGTCCTAGTGAAGCCATGGGAGTGAGAGCCTCAACCCAACCACATCAGATTTCATTGAAACTCTAGACTTTGGACTTCCGGGCTGACTTTAGTGTGTTCTGAAGGATCCGAGTTTTGGGGGGCAGTTTAGGTATAATGCTATGGTTTGTCTTCTCTAAAACTCAGGTTGCCATTTAACTGCTACTGTGAAATGTTGGAAGTGAGACCTTTAATGAGTGATTCGTTCATAAGGGTTCCACAGTAATGAATGCATTAATGCTGTGATCATGAGTGTGGGCCAATTAACATGGGAGTAGCTTTAACAGTGACCTCTTGCACATGTCCTCTTAGTCCAACCTCTTTTCGTGTACACGTGTGTTCACTACCCATACCCTCTACCACGTTCTGACACAGCAAGGCAGCCCTTACCAGAAGGGGTCCATTGATCTTAGCCCTCCCAGCCTCCAAACTGTGAGAAATCAATTTCATTTCTTTGTATGTCATCCAGTGTGTGACACTTACCACAGCAGAAAATTAAAACACATTCCAAATTATGTTTAACTTAAGGATGTATGTCCTTGTAATGACTAATTCTCCTTTTTGAGCTTCTAGATTTCATATCTATAAAATTCAATGTGACGTAGGCCTCAAAAGCCCTGAAGCCTAACTCCCTTATTTTATATAGAGGCTCACTATGTATTTAGAAGATTACATGAAGACTACAATGAGCTGTGATTGTTCTCAAACCATTTCAAAATAAAGCAATGGGGAAAAACCGATTAGCACATTTATCAACTGTGTAGTCCTGGTTACACAGCAAAAACCTACCATGCACCAGAAAATGTCTTTATGGAAGTATAAAAAAAAAGTTAAAAAAAAAAATCTCATTTCATTCCTGGGGCCCAAACTCAAATTTCATTATCCTCACATCACCAATCCAGATTAAGTACACATCCAAAATGAGCAATGAACCAAGATTTGGGCAAGTAAAAAGATAGTCTTGGAATTTCTTCAAGGCCTAGCCCAGACTTGTCTTAAAACCTTCCTAGATCATCCCAAACAGAGCACATGCAAGCGATTCTTTAGGCTACTCAGCTGGTGTTTCACTATATATGTATATATACACACTAAATTTTTCACTATATATACATACACAGGTACTTCAAAAATTCGTGGAAATTTTCATGAAATTAAAATTAAGTATGTTTTGTATCAATTTTGAGATCTACATGTAGTTTTCATAATATGCATTTTTCATGAACTTTTAATGGCTCCTCATACGAAATGGACAGATGTTGCCATTCAGCCAATAATTTAGCTAAGCTCACGTTCAGCACTGTAGGTTCAATGGTGAGCAAAGCTCTCATGCAGTTAGTTCAAAATCAGAAGAGAAATGTCCTGGACTCACCAACCGCCTGTATGTGGCCCATCCATCCACAGTCACTGGGAACACCATAGCATATACTGGTGCTCCCACACATTTGGCTGTTCTTATTTTAAAGGCTTCTTTATATGCATGTGACAGCCCACAATTGCAGGAAGCAAATCTCAATGTTGCATGTGAAAATACCACTTGAAATAGAATCCAGTGGGCTGATGGCAACAGGCAGAGGTTTCTTTTCCAATCTAATTTCAGCATTTAAATTGACTTCATGAGACTGAATACTATGTCAATAGCTATAGTAGTTTGTCTTTATTTTAAATTTGTACTCCCTGGTTAAGGAAAAAAAATTAAGTCACCTTATATCCTGATTCCAAGACTTATTCCCACACAAAATAAGGCATTTGCGGTTCAGAAGCTTTTGCACCGAATAGTACATTTACTGTGGTGGTGTTTACTTTCCTGAAAAGTTGTTTCTAAATCAATGATACGTTGTATAATCAATGTTGCCTTAGAAACCAAGAAATTCAACAGGAAGACGCCACTGACTCAATGAGTGAATAGCTGCTGAGAGCCTGGCCCTGTCTTCCGCTAAGCCTTCCCACCCTGCGGGGCCTTCTTTCTAGAATCCGAATAAGCGAGGCTTGCATTTGTGTTTCTCAAACTCCGCAGTCCTAAGGGGCCAATTTTTACAACGTTCCCATCAGATGAAGACCAGCACGCTTATGGAAAAATAGGAATGTTAAATTGCTGTAATGGTTTCTAAATGCTTGCTTTC